CGGACAGGTGCGCAGGGGAGGTGGAGGAGCGTGTTTGGAGAAGAAAAGCTTGGGTCGGGTTTGGTGCAGAAGTGGTCTGGAGCAGCAAGAAAACTTGGAGAAAACAAGGACCTGTTAGATTGCAGGGGTTTCCTGTGGAAGAGTAGACAAGTGAAGCCGATGGTGGAACTTAAGTGGTTTCCCAGGCAAAGAAGAGGCAATGAGAGAAGGGGAGAGCACTGAGGAGGTGGGATTGAGTGTATGGGGCAACAGAGTAAAAGTAGTGGAGAAATTTGGTGTGTGGAACTTGGTTATATTTCTGTGGTGTGAAGGGGCAAGCGGGAGGGAAGCAGTTAAGGTAGAAGAGAGTGTGGACAGAAGTAGGGGGGTGCAAGAGGATGTTAGAGGAAAGAGGAGGTTTGTAGAAGGACCAGGAAGGCAGTGGAGAAGAGAAAATGGAAGTAAAACCCAGAGTATTCTGGGGTGTAGGATCCATAAAACAATGTGTAAGGGAGATGAAGAATGACTCTTTGACAGTGTCTGTTGCTGTGTCAGCCACAGTCCTCTGTCATGAATGAGGTGCCAGAGACAAACCTGTAGATCCTTACAGAGGATGGCAGCATGCTGGTCAGTGTGGGGCTCACCGTGGCTGCACACAAGTAAACTGAGTATGGAAGTCCTTCACGGTGACCTAGACATCTAAGTATTTTTCTTTCAGTTAAAACTTTTTGGTTCATCTTTGGTGCGTTGAATTTTAACTTAATACATGTGAGCTTAAAGAGTTTGTTCATAGCTTAAGAAAAATCTGAGAAAGATTTGATTTAAGGGACTGGTGCCCCGTGGCCATATGTAGGTAGCGTGGCTGTAGTTTTTTTACAGCTTTACAGCTGTACCCTGCCTACCACAGCTCTGGCCACTGACCCCTCCTTGGGGAGGAAAGGTAATAAATCCTTGGTTACCCATGTCTTACAAATAGAAGCCTGAAAAGGCGTAGCAGAAAACTAGCAGTCCCATATTGGTTTAATTGGTTTGTAGTTCATATTATCGGTTCATAAAATTGGGGTTGTATTTATGATAGTGCTGGTCTTTGTGATGTGTAAATGTTGAAGTACTGTGCCATGTGTAGCTGAGAAGTCAAGTTCAGATCACAGCAAGTAACTTTGTTACCTTTTAGCAAGGCCTTTGTGGTCAACCCTAACAGCATCTTGTCATAGCGTTTTTGTTTTGGAGTGTTTCAGGCCGAGATGCAGAATCAGTTACAGCTACTTCAGTCATTGTCTTCCATATAGTACATTATGTCATGGAAGAAACTATAGGAAGAAGTCTGTGAAATGTTTTTTAGAGTCTTTAGACTGTTTCTGTCTCACCTTTGTGTATGTGAGTGTTAATGTAGAACCTGTTGTCTTAAACTGGAGAGAAATTACCAGAGTAGCTGATGTTGAAGTTGTTTAGACTTGATGTAAGCTCCCTTGCAAAACTACCAGAGGATTTCTGTAGGTTAACTTGCAGTTGCAGGAGAGAGGTGAGATGGTTCGTTTCACTTCTGAATTCATTTCTCCAGAGGCCTATCTGGTTGTGTATTTGAGGTTAAATTGAGGTTTGGGGATTTCTTTTTTTTAATTTGTTTCTTTGTTTTTAAACAAGTTGTTTAGACTTGATGTAAGCTCCCTTGCAAAACTACCAGAGGATTTCTGTAGGTTAACTTGCAGTTGCAGGAGAGAGGTGAGATGGTTCGTTTCACTTCTGAATTCATTTCTCCAGAGGCCTATCTGGTTGTGTATTTGAGGTTAAATTGAGGTTTGGGGATTTCTTTTTTTTAATTTGTTTCTTTGTTTTTAAACAATTTACTACCTGAGGTTTGGGGATTTTTTTTTTTTTTAATTTGTTTCTTTGTTTTTAAACAATTTACTACTTTGTTTTTTTAAATACTACTTGTGTTTTAACAAGTCATACTTTACCTCCTTTAGACACTGAGGATGCCAGTGAAACCGACCTGGCAAAACATGAGGAAGAGGACTTTGTAGAAATGAAAGAACAGTAAGTAACCCATTGTAATAAAAATAAAATTAATGTTCTGTTTAATGGGGGGGGGTGTTGCATAAAACTTTGCAATGTTTTGCGCCAAGATTGGGGGATTTAAGTGCCTAGCCCAATGTAATAGCTAATGAGTCCATATACTTGTATTTCTTCTCTCATCAGCTAAATAATTGGTTTGGGTACATTGTAAAACCAGTGGGGTGTCAGGGTTTTTAGACAAAATGATGACCTTTCATTTGAATAATATCCTTTTAGTTGTTGTTTGTTTGTTTCCTGAGGTTCTTTTGAAAATTTTTTAATTACATCTAAACATGTTGTAACCTAAACAGATGGTGAAATAGATGATGTATGTTTATTTTTCAAAGTAAACTTGCATGCTGTCTATCTTTTCAGGATGTATCAGGACAAACTGGCATCTCTTAAGAGGCAATTACAACAATTGCAGGAAGGTAAGCTTTGAAGGTGCTAGCTTTTTTTCCTAAACAATTTTCAGCACTTTTCAAAGGTCATGGATGAGGGTTTTGAAAGATGTAAGCAGCATCCTTTACTGAATGTTGGCTCTCAGTCATGCTGCTGAGTGAAAAGTGTCAGCCACTTTCCATCCTTTTTCCCTCTAAACACCTGTAGTTACGCTTCTGTGTACTAACACATTTCTTAAAAGGAGTAGTCTTTCTGAAAAAACAGGGAATGTGCTTATCAAAATAAGCAAACTAGAACTGTAGTTTTCTGATTCCAGATTTTAGTATTTGTGTTTCCAGTGGTGTATGGCTCCTTGAGAAAATTTATTACTTGGAAAAAATAAAATTCTAGTGGGAATCCATAACTTATTTCAACTAGGTACTCTTCAGGAATATCAGAAAAGAATGAAAAAGTTGGACCAGCAGTACAAAGAAAGGATACGAAATGCAGGTAAGCTGAATTTCTTTCTAAGATGCTGCATACAATTTAAATTAATGTTTTTTATAACAGCTGAAGAAAAATAATGGTAATTCTGTCCTTTAAAGAAAAGGAACTTTGTGGCGCAAAGGGTTTTTCTGCTTCTAAGGGTATAGTGTAGGTTTTTTCAAGAGTGCCCGAAGCATGAGGGGAACTGTTGTGATTTTTTGCCCACTTCATCATCATTGTTTACTGACCATTTACTAAACGCCAATAAAGAGTTTTAGTCTTCATTTGTGTGAAACAGTACACGTAAAAAAATTGTTTTGCTTTTATCTGGCACTGTGCCGAACCTACAGTCTCCCACTTTGGCTTGTTCTTTCATGCAACTTGTCTTCAAAAAATCTTCAGGTGCACCGTTTCTTTCAGTTTGCAGGAGTGGAAAGTTAGGACTACATGCTTTCCCAAAGATCTGTTTTGTGCCCTGGAACAAGGAATGCAGAGTTTGCTGCTGAAACTATCACTCCGTACAGCTGTGGCATTGAGGGGCTGTCTGTACTTCGTGTCTGGCGCTCTGTTTCAGGAGCAAAGTTAGTTTTTAAAGTGCCTAGCTCGCAGTCCTTCTGGGTAGCCGTTGTTGTGTTACTGCAGAGAAATGGCTTGGAAATCAGATCCTTTTGCTTGCCCTCCCTCTCTCTTTGTTCCCATTCCAGTAGGTTCTTATCTTGGATACTAAGCAGGGCATTTTATAGATGCAATTATGTGGAAATAGGAAATGTAGCTGCTTTTCCTTGAGAAAAGTTGGATGAATCTTGTAATGCCCAGGCCATTACTCTGGGAAAAATGACAGAGAGGCAGTGGCAGTTGTGTGATGTCTAATGTACTCCAACCTTTTGAATAGTATAAATTGTACCTTTCTAAAAGTGCTTGGGATGCTAAAGGATTTGCTTGAGGAATTTAAGTGAATTGAACTAATTCTTCTTAACAGGAATCTGTCTTCTAGATGAATTTCATGTATGTTAGAGCTGCATTCCAGTAATATAGGCTTGTTTTTATAAAATGAAGAATAACTGCAAACTTGTATTTCTGTCTGGCAAAGACCAGTGCTGCGGCAGCATAGTTCTTCCACAGGAGGGCAGATGGTGATAACTTTTCAATTTTATGATAAAAAATCCAACTGCCTAATACTACAGGAAGAATGATCTTTTATGTTTACCTTTCTTATGCTGAGGTTTGGGCTTGATTGTTTTTTGTTTTGTAGTGGGTTGTTTTTTTTTGAGAAGTCACAGATATTAAAGCAACAGTTTAGATTTACCCGTATTTGATTACCCTCATAATACTGCTTCCATGCTTAACTGGTAGAGCCCCTTGCAAACAAAAGGTTTGACTTTTACTAGGCCGTTATCATCTTTGGTTTCTATTTTGTTGGTTTTAAAAATTGTTTTTTAAAAAAAGCGCTGTAGTAGAGTGTTGCAGCTACAGTCTTCTCTGAAACTTATTTGAAGCCCATGATCTTTACAGAAGTTTTTACTATTTCAGGTCTTGCCAAAGCTTAGTATGGTGATGAAATATGATGACTTGAGGACTGATCAGGTGCTTTAGTTTGCTTTTTTTTGCCACTACCTTGATTAAAAACTTGGAGTTGGGCGTTCTGGCCTCCAGGAAACACAAGAAGGATCCCATCCTGCTTAATTTCAACTTGTTAGGAATTGCACAAACATCAGTAGCAGGACTGTTTCTACATGCAGAAATCCATTTGCCTCATCCATGGGTCTGACTTGAAATAATCGTTGCCATGTGTTAGAACTTCAGTGATATATAACAACTTCCTTGGGCATAAACAGCCTGAAATCACACACATGTGAGTTGAGTAGATGAATCTTCTGACGGCTGCAGAATTATTTCTGAACCAGTCATTGCTGAAATTCATGAAATTGGCTTAAGCTGTGAATTTTTGCCAGCCATACACACAGATACAATTTTCAAGCTTCTATCTGGGAAGTTTCTATCTAGTATTAATTGATTGTAATTAAACTGGAAGAAAGATGGACTACATGCTTAGTACTGCTGGGAATAGTAGCTGAATTGAATGGTATGGAATATTGCTGTGTCAGCTTTGCAAATCTGCTTGAAAATCTGTAGAAAACTTCAATTACCAGTGCACTTTTGTGGAATTTGTTCATAATTACTTTATTTTCATTGTAAAACTGCGAGCTGAGAGTTGTGGTTGGATGAGTACGTACACTATTTAGTTCACTGCCTCTCATGGCTGCAATATTCAATGACTTAAAATGTTAGGGAAGTAATTTTGTGCATCTTTGAAGATAATAAATTAAGTCTGTCTTGTCTTTCAGAACTGTTCCTCCAGCTGGAAGTAAGTACTCTTAATTTATGAAAATATATATTAGCTAGATGGAAGAGGTATAAACCTCCTGACTTGTACTTGTGCTTGATTTCCCAGAAGACTTACAGAAATTTTCTTCCGCTAGCTAGTGTTATTACACTTGGTGTAGTACAGCCTACTGTATTTGGTATTACTTCAAGTAACTTCTGGACTTTGTCATTAAAATAGAATTAAAATAAATATTTGCTCTTGGGCTGCTTTATGCTGGTTGTGCATTTGGCTTGTTTAAAAAGCTTGTTTAAGGTGGTAAATGGTAGTGCTGTTTATAAATCTGAAGAGCTCTCTGCTAGAGCCTTGATATCTTACGCAACATTATAATGTTTTTAAACAAATAGTTCTTTTGCTAATATAGTACTGCTTGCTTAGTAATTTTTAGGTGATTTTATGTTGATTGTGACTATTGATAATCTTTAGAACTGGCTACAGTTTTGAACTGAAAAGCTAATCAATACAGCAGTTGAAAGAAGCTGTTATGATATCATTAACTTGAGTCATTGGTTCCTTAGCTAACCTTTTTGTTCTTTTTGTTTGTTAGACAGATCAGGTGGAAAAAAATTACGTCAAGGAAAAGAAGGCAGCAGCAAAGGAATTTGAAGATAAGAAAATTGAGCTGAAGGAAAACTTGATTGCAGAGTTGGAAGAGAAAAAGAAGATGATTGAGAATGAAAAGTTAACCATGGAATTAACAGGAGGTAAAAACAAGATAGGCATCTGCCATTTGTCTTATCCACTCTGCTGCTGCTGCTTAGAAAAAGATATAAAGGTAGCAATGCTGGTTTATACAGACAGCTAGTGTGAAGGCTTTAAAGCTTTCCAAATGCCAAGAGATGTAGAACACAAATTGGTGATCTTTTAGTGGAGAAAGCAGTTCATAATAAAATTCAGTGACCTGAATTACTAACAGGTGAATCAAATTCAGGCCAGTGAAGCAGCAGAGTGGATAGGCTTTCTTATATGCAGGGGAAGGGGCTGCTTTAGTTCCTGTGATCTGGCAATAAAGCTGTTGAGATATGCCGCAATACTGACCTAACTGGTGGTGCCAGGTTGTAAACTGTGTCCTTTTTTTTTTGTCTCCAGTAATACATCATCCAGAAGTTGAAGGCAAACAATAAAGGTTGAAATAAGCTACTTAAAGCCAGAAAAATAGATTTGTGAGCTACGTTTATGTCCAGGTTCTGGAAAATGGACATTAAATGGACAGATTTCTTTCATGAAACCAGTTGGTACCATTGGTATCTTGGCAATGGTCTTTGCAGTAATTGACACAGTGGAGCTAAGCAGAGGGATAATTAGCCTCCTTCACAAATTGTGTTGCTGTGATACTGAACCAAAAGTCTTGATTTGATTCTCTTTTTATGAGCAATTCCCTCACTTCATAGACAGATAATGCTGGTTGTGTTGCTGAGGCCTGTCCGTGAGTTAGACCTTTTATATCTTTCTTGCATAGTGGCTACAGAAGTTATGTGAGCTAATAATTTAATTAGTGTTCAGAAGTGAGAATTATAGTTTGTTTGGACATATTCAAGAGTGCTTTTGGCTTTTTACAAACTGTTAGGGCTAATTTGGTCTGGAAAACACCTTGAGCTATGCTGTTTCCCTGGTCTTTTTTATTATGAAGTGTAGTCTGATCTTACAAACCGTGCCTTAGCTTTAGCTTTCCTATTGTTATCCTATGCCTGTGTTTGTTCACTACTAAGCTGGGATGCAGTACTAATCTTATAAGCTGATTTTCGTTAGTGCATCAGGATCTGATTACATCTTGCCTTTGGAAATCTGCATACCAATGTTCTAGGAGCCTGAAGGAATCCAATTTCTGTATCGGTGGGACAGCTGTGAACATCAGGATTCGTATTTGCAGAGTTAAAGAGAGGGTGAGGAGGGGTAAAAAAAAGTATTTAGTAGTCTGATTCGGGGACCAGGTTAATCCTCTTCAGGGAAATGTGCCCCCCATTGTTGTGCGTCCTGAAGAGACGAGCTGTTTCACCAAATATAACTCCAGGAAGAGGCATGTAAGCAGCTGTGGAGAAGAGATCCATTCTATGTGTGTTAGCCCTCTCTTATGTCCTTCCTTCCAGACTAGCAGAAATGCAGTGCGATTTCTTTAGAAGTAACAGATGTGCTGCAGGCTAAGAAATAAGAATACTGAGACTGATGTGGACTTGATGGTTTTTAAAACCTGTGGAAGTTCAGTGTATACAAGGATGCAAGTTAGCAACCTGGTGAATAGGTTTGTCTGGGAGCGCTGGGAGTGTTGCGGTTTCATTAGGCTGCAATAGTTGCGTCCTGTTCTGGAGCATTGTATAGTGTGGTTCTTAACTGTTAAGCCTCATGCAAGACTGTGTTCCAGGTGAAATCTGTTGGTGTTTAATAAAGGCAGTTTTGAAGACCTGCTAACGTTTTTATGAATCTCTCAAGAATCTTAAAGTTCTTCAAACATTTAACAGTAAATGTAACACACTCAAACTCTGTTTTTTTTTCTGCGAACTTCTTTGGTGCTGACTTTCAGCTGACTTGTCAAAATTTTAAGGTACAAGATGCTAAGATAAAGAGAGAAGAAGGTTGATCTCTCTGCCTTATTCATATTTTAAGCAATACAGATAACTCTCTGTGACCACTCATTTGAAACTAAAAAGGAGAAAAAGCCTTCTCGACTTGGCTGCATATTGCCTTGAGTAAGCGCTTCAAACCCCTCTTTTGAGGTTCTTGTAAATTGGTCTTAACAAATGAGAAGAATGGCTTAGATTCAACACAGTAAGTTATGTTTTTAGTGTTTGCAGGGCTATTAATCTTCAGTGTTTTTTCAAATTCAGCTTTGTATCCTAGAGATAAGGCTTCCTTTGGCACACACTCAGTGGGTAGCACTTTATTTTTTTTTTTAAAGCTTTTATCATAATATTTGTTCCCTTATGATATGCAGCATGGTCATCCTTGTTCACCCTTGAGATAAGGAGAAAAGTAATTTGGTGTATTTTGAACATGCATAGCTGCTCACAGCTTTAGCATCTAGAGGGAGCCAAAGAGGTTTTATAGACTTAAGTGCTACCTAGGATGCGATTCAGATGTACTTAAAGATGAGTGAATAATTCTCAGCACATAGAAAGAGAGGAGAGATGATGTGTTTAGCATTTAAGATGTGGTCTTTTGGTTGCCAATTCAAAATGTCTTTGTAAATTAAGGAATGATTTGTGAGCGTTTCAGTAAAGTAGTTCAGTTAAGACTACCTGTAGACGTTTGGACAAACTGTAATTTCAGATAATTACTTGATGATGAGACTTGTGTTTCAATTCTACACAGACTTTTTTCTTTTTCCCCAGTGCATATGCTACAATTTATTTCCTGTCAACTGCTTCTCTGCATGTTATTAATTAGGTTCATTTCATTAATCGTAATTTGAACACTTTTAGATAATCTGAATTTAAAAACGATTTGTGTTCAAAATTACTCCAGCAGACTTGCATCAGTCTTGAATGCAGTAATTTATCTGTATTCCTTTGACAAAGCTATTTTTCCAGCTTGAAGACAAGAAAAAGAGCAATTGATTTGTAGCTGATGTTTTACATGCTATTAACTATCCAAGTTTTGTTAGCAAAGAACTGAATGAACTTTGCCTTTTAAATGATCCGTTCAAATGCGGATAGCATTAGCATTAGAAATTTTCCCTGAATCCTTGTAGCAGTATTGTGCTTGTTATCTGTTACCTGAAGCAGCTGTAAAATGCCCCCAAACCAACGGTGCCACTTCCAGCCAACGAAAGCTGTAACCATGGCATTGCAACGCTGTTACTGAACACTGACCTAGCATGAAAGAGACTTTGTATATTCGCTGTCAGCAGTTCCAGCTTGGATGCTGGAAGCTATCACCAAAAAAATCTGATTTTATGTATGAAAGATTATTTTTCCTTGTACCTTGTGTAGAAAGCTGCTGCTGCTTACTCCTTTCCCTCTGGTCTTATCAGCTCTCCAACTTCATTACTCTACAGATTCAATGGAAGTGAAGCCTATTATGACAAGGAAACTGAGGCGACGACCAAATGATCCAGTTCCTATCCCAGACAAGAGGAGGAAACCTGCCCCTGATATCCTTTCACAGAGTCATTGGAGGGCTGTTGTATTTGAAGCCAGCATGTTACCTGCATCTATGCTGTTTTGTACGGGAAAGAAAATGAAATGAGGCACTAGGATCAGATTTAATCTAGGAAATACTGAAGCACAATTTGTCATGTATAAGGTGTGACAAACTAATAGAGCACAACCAGTCCTAACTTAAACTTCACAGTGTCGTGAGATAACTAACTTGACTTTTTTTTTTTGTCAGTGAGAGTAGCTTGAATTCTTCAGGCATTTTTTTTTCACAAAGGAGAAACTTTAAAAGAACAGTATATATAAATACTGAGGTAATTGATTCCATAGATAGTAAATGGCTTTTTACATGAGCCAAAGCTTTTCTCATTTCAAGATGTGACAAAACATTTGCCAGAAAGATCGTATTTGTCATATCAAACCATTTTTTTTTCCATTTCTGATAAAAGCTTCAGATCTCTAACCTAGAGAGATGCCTAGCAAAAGCAAGGAGTGCTAGATTTATTCTTTAAATTAAAAAAAAGATGAAAATCCATCTTTTTTTTCAATATATGTCATGAGAGGGAGAAAAACATGTATCTGTAATACCTCTCTTCTGCCTTGTTGCATGTTTCTTATAATTAAAATGTTCCTTGGCTTCTGGAAATATGTTTTTAGCTCCTTTGTGATCATAGGCACTTCTGTTTGTACATTAAATTCATCTGGAAAGGAAGGCAATGATATTTGCTTTGCAGCAGCTTATTACTGGATTCCAAACTTGTATGGCTTAAGATAAGTTTTTTTTAATCTTATTTACGAGTTCTGAGTGACTCACATTTTCTGAAGGCAGTATCAAACCTTGAACTTCTAGAGTTCATGCGGGATAGTCGCAAGCATCTCCAGTTTTAATTAACAACTTTCTGATTGGAGATTCTGTTCACTCTTTCAGGAAAAAACCCCTCTATTTATTAGTGCCCCATCTCATCCAAAATAAATGAGTCTCACAGTGAATGTGACCTACTAACTGAGCATGATACGGCAGCCACAGTATGAAACTCTCCTGCCTTTTCTCACTGTGGAGAGGATTAAAGTCCATCAAAACTGCAAATCCTTAACATGCAGCCTAGCAATTGTGAACTTCAGTTTAATACTTTGACTACTTTTGACTTAACAGCTATTTTGATGAAACTCTGTAGATAAAGCTGGAGAGAGGGTCCACTGCTTTGTCTGGGTGCCGTTTTCCTTCTGTGTAGCTAGGGTATTCTCTTGTGGAAGTGACAGAGGAGCAGTAGAAAAGGGAAGTAGGAAGATACAATTGTGAAACTACACAAAATGACAGCGGAGCTCTAATAAGGCTATAATACGCTAACTTCTGTGTTCTGCGATTTTGGGTTTGTTTTCAGGTGAATGGTAGACTCTTATTTATTGTCATCCACACACGAAGTGGTTTGTGCCTCCAGCTTGATTTTCTGGTTCTTTTTTGAGTGTTTTTTTGTGGGCCTTCCCCTTCTTCTCCCTGTGTCTCTATTCCTGCTTACTGCATTACAAAATGATGAGTTTCTTTTCCTAGGTTTGGGTGGGATTCTGCTTCATTGTACAAAATCTGAAGTGGGTCTGTTGCGTTTCAGCTCCCAGATTGTTCTCTACAGAAATGCAAGATGAAAAACACTGAAAACGCTAGTACTTGATGCCTCCGTGAAGTAAATGTCAATGCACTAAAGTTTTTTTCATTGATGGTTATGTTTGAATAAGTTAAAATGATTTTGCACTCTATTTGCTGCTAAATGCTCTGTGGACATGGATGTGTATTAATTCATGTGACAAAAAGAGCTCAAGTATGACACTTACTAAAATCTTGTGCAACTTCACAGAAACCTTTTGGCTTACGCTTAGTTAAATGAAATGTCATTGACCTTTAATTTTTAGCCTTGCTTTTTAAGAGCTTATGGGATCCTTAATTCTGGATACCTCAGCTAAATTATTTGTTAACTGATGAGCAAATAATGGAGGACCTGAGAACACTGAATAAGGTAGGGATTATTGCTTGATTAGTGTTTCTTGTTTTAAAGAGAAAGCTAATGCGTTCCCCCGAAGAGAAGAGAGCACTCTGTTTTATGTTCCTTTTTGAGATGTGGGACTAGTTCATCCCACTAGGCTTTCTGAAGTAACACAATAAAAATTTAGCAAAATGGTATCTCCTCCCTTTTATTTTAACAGGTTTAATTAATCTAATTTAAATGACTGTCATCTAAAAATGTTACCTTTTGTCTGAACCAAGTGATGAGCTATCTTAAAGAGTTTCTTCCTCCACATGGCTGAACAGATGTTAACATGTTTTTCTGTGGGATCACAGGCTGCCTTTATTTTAGGCCTTAATGTGGGGTGGGTTTTGTAGTTTTTCTCTCCCCACTGTTGGAATACTTCAGTAAACTGGATAGGGTGCAGTGTGTACATCTATTTTCTTCCAAATTTGATTAACCATATTGTTTTCTTGCTAAACACTTTAAGGCGTATCCAATTTCTTATAATAGAGGCTGCTCAAGGCATTTGGGGATGGTAAAACATTTAAGCATGTTTTTTGTGCCAACTGTTGAGGTGTCTCTAATGATTTATCTCCTGTGTTTTGTGTACCCTGAGAAATACTGGACTAAGTTCAAAAATACAGTGTTAGATGGTTTTCGTTTTGACTTGTTTTAATGGATTATCTGAATGCTCTGAAGTTCAGTTTGTAGACCTTTGCATCGTGATAGGGATTATCTACACCTTTGGCTGTGTCTAGCATGCTGTTCTGGTTATATGTTATGCCACTTACCAGTACATTTTAAAAAAAAAGCATTTAGAGTGTGGAAAGTAAGACTGCCTGAAATTATTACTGCGGACTTCTATGGCTCATATCAGATCTCTAACGCTTATTTGCTCTCTTTCCATGTAGCTTAAGTCACCCAAGAGACCAGGTGAGTTAACAGTTGCACTGGAACTTGTTCACAGTCATGCTGTTTTGAACAGAGAATTATACTGTAGATTGTTTGACTGTATAATTGTTGACTGTGTAATTGCTATTCTTTGTGTAGCTACCGTGGTGAATGAGTGCTGGATGAAGTCTCTTCATCTGTTCTGAAGTTTGTTGGGGATGGGAAGGGTGGCATGTGCATCTTCAGTGGCTGAAATATTTGGGCATGGGACAGTCTGTGTAAAGAGGTTTTTCTGTTCTATTCAGATGCATCTGGGCAGCTTGCCTGCTTGTCAGGTGGATGGAGGGATTGAGAACTTACGGGTTTATGCCTTCAGCTCTCTAGATGTGTCTGTATACTTTTATTTCAAGACAGAGTGGTACAGACTTGCCTATGTAATTCTGACTCTGTTAAACTACTTTGCTATAGATTAGACAATAATGTCCTTCATTTTGTTTTAATTCTATCACCTACCTAGCAACATTTTTTCAGGTATGTTATATTTCAGTGAATATTACCGTTTATATATTCAAGGCAGAGGTTGAATTGTTTGTCCCAATAGATAATGTTTTTCTGATGGAAATTTGCGTTTGCAGCTTTCTGTGCTTGTTATTTCTGCTTAATGTGAACTTATTGATTGCTGTTCTGCACTCAGATGTGCTACTGTGTGGAGGACACATGCTGGTCTTTAAACAGTCTCTCTCCTATTCTCAGCCTCTCCCTCCTCCCCTGAACACCTCCCAGCTACGCCAGCGGAGTCTCCAGCACAGCGGTTTGAAGCCCGGATCGAAGATGGAAAACTCTACTATGATAAGAGATGGTAAGTCCTGATAAATTTCTGTTTTAATCAGTGTGAGTGTTGTGTAGTGAGGAGACACAAAACTGCAGAGAGAAATTGCTTTGATAAAAGAATTTGAGGACAAAGTGTTTTTGGATGGAGGTTAGCCACTTCCTCCAAGGGCTAATCGCTGTGACTTTGGTAAATCAGAAGTGATAATGGAATGTTTAGACCTCATAGACTTTCAGGAGTAACTACAGCACAGTGGTGTCAGCAGTATTTGCAGTCCTGGTGTTCAGTTTTGTAGAACACTAGGCCATCGTTCCACAAGGTGGCGGAAGAAATGTTGTGCGCTAGATGAGCAGAATGAAAAATGTTTCTAATAAATCCAAAGAACCTTTAAAGATCAAACCCATGTGGGAGAAGCAACTTCAGAATTGCTGATTGGATTTAGCACTGTTAAGTTTTATGGGTGCATAGCTGTGCAAGCCTCACCAAACCCAATGAAAATATTAAATTCTGCAGAGAAATCTTAGTAGGTCTTAAACTTAATCCATGAGACATGCAAAATTGGATAATCAAGGGGGCAATCTAGTACTCCTTGAACAGAAAGCAATTTGCAAGTCATATGCTTATTTGTAGCCTACTTCAGTGTTTTGGTGGCTCAAAATAACAAGTGACGAGGTTGTACTTTTATCATGGAAAATGATAGGTGTGAAGCTTGTTTTTTACACAACAGCCATCTTTCCCAGTTGGTCAGTTTTCCCTTCTGCTAGTCTTCTGACAGTGAAGCTTCAAGGGTTCAATGTATGCAGCTCTGATAAAAGCTGCTGCCTGGAGCTTAAACTTCTGTGAAGTGTAAAGCAGACATGAACTGAACAGACTACTTATTTCACAAATTCATGAAGTTCTTTTTTTTCTTTTTTCCTTTCATCTTTTTTTTGTGTAAAGTGACTATCCTCTGGGATGTATTTGGATGAATAAACTGTTCTTCGGAATTTTTAAGTATGTGAAGTACTGAAAAGGGTTGCATAAGAGAAAAAAAAAAAGGAAAGGTGGAATCTGAAGTGTATGTCAGCAAAGCTCCCAAGCTCCCACCAAATTTAAACCTGGGAGAGCTTCAGTGAGCCCAGATGAGTATCTCAAAAGCACCAGCTGTCTCTGAAAGGTATCTGGTTGAGACATAAAACACTAACGGGTATTCTCATCTTGCTGAATTCAGTTGTCATGGGGGTCTCACTGTCAGGAATTCCAGCTGTTGTCTTTCCTGTCTGCCTTGTTCTTATGCTGTTTTAAGATAAGTATTTTACATTTTTTGGCTGTAACGGTCCTGCTTAGATTTTTTTGATTGATAGTAATAGTACTTGTGCAAAGTAGCTGTTATTTTAAAATAATGAAGTAACTCTTGATAGTGGGAGGGTAATTTTTTTTTCAAATGTATTAAGGCTGTAGCTGCTGGCATGCATCAGAAATAATAAAACTGACAGCTCAGGAGTGACTACTTTCTCCGTTTCCTGATGGCAGCCATGAGGGACCGTTATCTCAAAATAGTGCATATTTAAGGCTAGTAATGCACTCCCCAAGGTCTTTGCGGAGATATTTCACAAACAAGTCTCCAAAGTGGAGACTTTGTGTAGGGAGTTTCAGATAGATGTGGAGTGAGACTTCAATTTTTTATCTCTGGTCAATTTGTTCTATGCCCTCCTGTCAGATCCTAAAATACAGTTCACTGTAAAACCACCGTCTTTTTGCTTTTAGCTTTGTCTGCATACAAAATAAAGAGTGATTTCTTTCAATCTTCTGATGGAGGTGCAGTTGAAAATCTTGGCCTTTCAGCAAAATATTTTGTAGCAAAAAGCAGAATCACTTCTGCTTGCCCCACTGGTCAGCATTGTGGTCTGTTTTACCTGCTGCAAAAGCAGGAGTTGTTTGGCACTTTCCTTCTCTTGAAAGCCAACTTAAATTCCACTGCATTTCTCTTCCGAAGTATTTTCCTCAGTTCTACCCCTGTGTTTTCCTTGAGAACAAAAACTTGGCAAAGGGCTGCGACATGAACATGTATCTGAGATGTACCAGGCTACTGTGCCTTCAGCTGACCTCTGCGTGCACGGAGCATGAGGCAGCTGAGACAACTCTTCTTGAACTAACTTGTTACCTTGCCTTCTCTGTGTGCAGTTAATGTAGGTTTACCCATGGACAGTAACTTACAATGTGAAATCCAGGGGCTGAAGCCAGCTTCATTTGTGTCATTAGCTTTGGAATTCACTGATAATCAAAAATTGGAAGGAACAGCTTTGAGTGGAAAAATTATTTCATTATCTGTGCAGGCACAGATATTCACTTGAGAGTTGCCGTTTGCAGCGGTGTCTTCTGCACTCGGAAGCTTGTGTGCTGATTGTATCAAGGTCATCGATTCTCCTTGCTTAAGCAGTCACAGCATGGCATGGTAGGACGCTGCTGGACTGAGATTTTAATGTCTTATCTTAGTGAGCTCTGGTTTGTAGTAGCTTATACTGTTCCTTTATATCAATTAATGATCATCTGGGCTCAGTAAAGTGAGATTTTTTTGGCTCAGATCGTTGCTGCTGTTGCATTTCCCTGGAACTCACTGACTTCTGTTATCCCTTCTGTTAAAGTGAGGGAGAAAGAATAATGGTTGGGCACAAGTGTCTAAAGGTTGCAGGATTTGGTTTGTGGGTTTTTTGTTTGGGTTTTTTTATTACCTTGCCCAGCCCATTGCTAATTAGTGTGTTTGGGAGGCTGAAAGCTGTCACTATCATTCTTGTTATTGGCAAGCAGTGAGAAAATTGTGTGTACATGAGGCAGTAGGAAGAGATTGTGGAACAAACTATTGGAAGACTTCCATATTTACAGTATGGTTATTGTAGAAATAACTAAAGATTATGCAAATCTATGCATTTTGACAAATGGCTGCCAGCCAATCGGGATGCAGGGAGTTGCATACCGAGTAGTTACGGAGGGAATCTCTGCGCAGTGATTCTGTGACTTGGGTTGCCCAGTTAGATATGAAGCACATCATGATTAGGGTAGAAGTGGAAATATAGTTATGGTTTTATAAGTATAAAGCATTTTGCTCTCTTGATTAAGATTATTTACTTACAAATAGTAATTAGTATATTAGTTCTGCCCGCGGAACTCTTGCAGGCAGAATAAACAGAAACTGGGGAGTTTTGTCTAGCACACTTTGCAGCACTTATCAGAAACATGGTCTGTGAAGAAGGCAAGACCATGAAATGAAGCAATCCAGAGTTATGAATTTGGACTTTTTTACTTTGTTTTTTACAAAATGCACTAAGAAAAAACATACAGCATGACTAAAATATGATCTAAAAGAGTTAAGAAATGGATATGCTTAGACACAGCTTCCTTATGGCAGGTATATACAGCTTCTTACAGGGTCAGTTACCCCTCATCATTTTGGGTATTTTCACAAAATAAGACAATTAGAAATTTGAGGTCTCTAAACAATACACAGACTGCACTGATTGAGTACAATTCACTTGTGGTGGTGGTGGTGCACTAATAATTTTGCATTGGGGAATGTGAATAACTTTTGAGCATCTGTGATTTGCTCTGTCATATTTTATCAGGCATAATATGGAGTTGTCTTCTAAAATCCATCCTGTGTCTGAAGTGTGAAAAGCTAGTTTGGTTAACTCTTGAAACATGGGCTTATTGTCAGTCAGTCAGTGTTCTCTTATTTTGTGGCTTGGTGCTCTGCCTCTCTCTCTTTCAGATGTGAAATCTGTTTTCAGTAATCTGCATATAGAATTGAACGTGAATTGATAGCTTCATGCATTTTGAAATATCATTTAAATGAAAAGTGTGTGTGTGTAAAATCAGACCGCCCGCTGTGTTGTGAAGATGGGGAAAGTGGTGTGGAAAGAAAGACAAACTTAATATTTACTCCATCCAAACACTTGTAGAATCCTAGCTTTATCAGTCTAATTACTGTTTCTTTTCTCAGTCTTTGGACAGCTAATGGTTTCATGTGTTGCCTCTTTTTTTCCTTTTTTTTTATTTTTGCAGGTACCACAAGAGCCAGGCTATTTACCTGGAGTCTAAAGAGAACACTAAGATCAGCTGTGTGATCAGTTCTGTGGGCGCCAATGAGGTAGCGAGCTGCTTTTTTTTCACGCGAGTGGGGAAAACCGTGGGTCAGCGTAGGTGGGTAGATGGCTGTCTAGTAATGACTAGGAGAAAATCACTATTACTTTCAGAAAAGATGTAGTTGTCTGGTGTCTAAAGAAGCTGAATCCAAGCTAAAACTGAGTTGAGAGAGATCTCCTTGAGATGGGAAGAGATGTGCTGTGTTTCTAAAGAATGATCCTACATTTTTGCAAGTAGTAGTTTGGCAGGCAGGAAAAATGGGGAGAACGGACATGTTGCATCTCATTGGTACTACATTCGTAAGTTCTGTTTCCATCATTTCAAGAACATACATACAGTTGTTATTAATGCAAAATAAAATAAAAAAAAATCCCATTGGGAATCCAGAAAAGGATGAGGAAAAATTTTGTCACCAAATTTAGTTGTTATAAGAGGAGAAAATTCTTCCTG